TTGGAACTACGCGCTCTACTTTTTCCTCACGTCAGGTAATAAAAGCCCACTACAATTAGTTACAGATTTTTTAAATTCCTGCGTGATAAACATAGACCCAGCACCACCAACTGATAATCTTCTAGACTGGCCTACTATTACTTAGTGGGTAGATCATTCTTATATGTAAGAGCTCCTGCAAAGTGAGCAGAGTTTTCATTGAAAGATTATGAATTTACGATTGAGATGAAAGAAGCATAACCGTTGCTTTGTGAACTAAGCCAAGCTGTCTGTTCATCAGTCTTCATGGAGTTCACTAGACGCCCACTATCCGACGCCCTGACTAGTAATTAATGTAATCTTGCACCCAGGATGATAGATCATTCAACCCGTGGTTCAGGATTTTGTCACTGACCGTAAAAAATGGTAAGAATAGCATTGAAGCACAATATTCAGAATTCATCAATATTACATTCCATGGAGCACTTAAAAACATTGAATAGCTCTGTGAAGCTTGAATAACAAGTAGAGGATAAAAAACACGACTAAGGCCAGGGAAAAAGACGCTGTTTGGAAGACTCATGAAATAGAGGTCGTCATTACAAAGTAAGGTTTATAATCATCTTTTAGAACGCACGTGGTTTTAACCACTTTTTATCACACTCTTCAACAAAATATAACAGGCTCGAAGTCATTAATTGATTAATTACTATTAACGATAACACGCAAATGACAATCAATCACACCACAAGGAAATTACTGTTCTTTTAGTCTCCGCCTACGTGACATGATCTCTGAGATACTGAAACTAACCCCTTCCGTATTCATAATGTGAATGTATTTCGGCATATGCACATTAAATGGTAAGGTTAAAATATAACATATAATATAGTGAAATAAATTACAACAGTGTGGTTTGAAAGTAAGCACGCGAGATCAATTAGTTTGAAAATTGATTATATAACTGTTTCATGAAGCAATAATAATATGTGCTTGTTTGCGTGTTCACTAAGATCTGAAAGTCTATCCCACAGTTACAAAGTGAAATTGATAGATATACGATTGCTGAAGTTTTAAAGTGGTTGGAGTTACAATTGAATCAGCGTCTAAAACTTGAGCATAAGAGCACTGGAGACCTAGTTATATTACAAGAACTTATGAAAGAAAGCAAGATAATATGGGAAGTATGTGTAAAAATTCGGCTGCATTCAATATATCATTGATTGAAGTGTATAAACAACGATGTGCACTAAGTATTCACGACATTACGACTGAAGTGAAGTTATGAAATTTGCAAATGATGAAAATTTGTTTAAAATTGGTTTACTTAATTACTTACTTACGCCTGTTACCCCTCGTCGAGGAGCATAGGCCGCTCACCAGCATTCTCCATCCAACTCTGTCCTGAGCCTTCCTTTCCAGTTCTTTCCAGTTACTATTCAGCCTTTTCATATCGGCTTCTATTTCCCGGCGTAGTGTGTTCTTTGGCCTTCCTCTTTTCCACTTCCCTTCCGGATTCCAAGTTAGGGATTGAGTCGTGATACACATTGGTGATTTCCTTAATGTATGTCCGATCCACTTCCAACGTCTTTTCCTAATTTCCTCTTCAGCTGGAAGCTGGTTTGTCCTCTCCCATAAAACGCTGTTGCTGATAGTATCCGGCCAGTGGATGTTGAGTATTTTGCGTAGACAACTGTTTATAAATACTTGTACCTTCCTGATGATGGCCGTAGTAGTTCTCCACGTTTCAGCTCCATACAGTAGGACTGTCTTGACGTTCGCATTGAAGATTCTGACCTCGAAATTAGTTGAGAGTTGTTTTGAGTTCCATATGTTCTTCAATTGTAGAAATGCTGCCCTTGCTTTGCCAATCCTCGCCTTTACATCTGCATCCGATCCTCCTTGTTTATCAACGATGCTCCCCAGGTACTTGAATGTTTCCACCTCTTCCAGAGTTTCACCGTCAAGTGTGATTGGGTTGGTGTTCTCCGTGTTGCATTTGAGAATCTTGCTTTTTCCTTTGTGAATGTGGAGACCTATCGATGCGGAGGCTGCTGCTACATTTGCTGTCTTCATCTGCATTTGGTCGTGTGTATGAGAGAGGAGGGCTAGGTCATCTGCGAAGTCCAAATCATCTAATTGATTCTGAGCTGTCCATTGTATTCCGTATTTCCCTTCAGATGTCGAATTCTTCATAATCCAGTCAATCACTAGAAGGAAGAGGAATGGGGAGAGTAGACAGCCTTGTCTGACTCCGGTCCTTACTGGAAATGCACCTGTCAGCTGTCCTCCATGCACCACTTTGCACTGTAATCCATCGTATGAGTTTTGGATAATGTTGACGATCTTCTGAGGAACTCCATAGTGTCGAAGAAGTTTCCACAATGTTCTCCTGTCCACGCTGTCAAACGCCTTCTCGTAGTCAGTAAAGTTGACGTATAGTGATGAGTTCCACTCAACTGATTGTTCAACGATGATCCGTAGTGTCGCAATCTGGTCTGTGCACGACCGATCCTTACGGAATCCAGCCTGATGATCCCTTAGTTCGGCGTCTACTGCGTCTTTCATCCGATTCAGCAGCACTCTGTTGAAAACTTTTCCTGGTACTGATAACAAACTGATACCTCTGTAGTTCTCACATTGGCTCAGATCTCCTTTCTTTGGTATCTTGATGAGATATCCTTCTTTCCAGTCCGTTGGCACTTGTTCCTCTTCCCAAATCTTTTTGAATAAAAGGTGAAGCAAGTTTGCAGTTATTTCAATGTCTGACTTCAGTGCTTCTGCTGGTATATTGTCAGGTCCTGCCGCCTTCCCACTTTTGATTTGTCTGATGGCCATCTTGACTTCTTCAATCGTTGGTGGAGTGACATCTATTGGAAGGTCTGTGTGGGCTGCTTCGATGTTCGGTGGATTCAATGGGGCTGGTCTATTCAGCAGTTCCTCGAAGTATTCTGCCCATCTTTTCTTCTGTTCTTGAATCTCAGTGATTGTCTTTCCTTCTTTGTCTTTGACTGGTCTCTCTGGTTTGCTATATCGCCCTGCCAATTTCTTCGTTGTATCATATAGTTGTTTCATATTCCCTTCTCTTGCAGCTTTTTCCGCCGTCGTTGCTAGTTCTCCCATGTATTTCTGCTTGTCGGCTTTAATGCTTTTCTTCACTTGCTTCCTTCCCTTGCTTCTTTGTTCTGAATGATGCTTTGATTATCCTGGGTCCATGAGTTTCCCATCCCACAAGTGCATTTCTTGCTTCTTTGAACAGCATTAGATCAACTCCCTGAGTGTGTGGAGCGTTTTCCCCTTCGTGACCGGAGTACAGCAGCATCTCTCCTGTACCTAGCCTTTGTTGTCCAGTTTGTGTCCAATGGGTTTCGCTGATTCCGAGTACTGCCAAGTTGTATCTCCTCATTTCCATTGCTATTTGGCTGGTCTTTCCTGTCTCCCACATTGTCCGGACGTTCCATGTACCTATAAAGAGTGTTGCTCTGGTTGTTAGAAGGTGCATCGGTCTCGTGACTTCCGAAGAATTTCGGCTTTCATCATGAGACGTCATAATTATTCCCTCAACTCCCAGGGCAGAGTTTAAATGGTTTGAATTATTATTTTTTCTGGTTAGCGTTTTTTTATCGAGTTAGCTTTTCTACGGGATGGGGTCGCTAACCCCATGTCCAACCCTCCTCCTTTACCCGGGCTTGGGACCGGCAGTAACTCTAGAAGAGCTACAGGCGGAGCTTCTCGGCCCTCTGAGCTAAGATCATGTGTAGCATCATGTGTAAAATTGGTTTAGCTTAACAATAATCACAAGGTAAAATAAAGCAAGAATTTTTACCCACTTGAATAGGATTCGGGGAGTGAGTCATTGTTTCAGACGTGAAACTGATATGCTACAACGACTTCAATAGCTGTGGATTGAAGTGGGAAAAGTTCTCAGTTCACTACTTTGTAGTGATAGACTAAGACACCTCAACCTATTTACAATAACTTGCCTCATGTTACCTGGCGATTTAATATTGGATTACTGCATACTGAACGGTGATTTTGCATTGATATGTCTCATCTTATCTCTTTATCTAAGACAAAACATCAGTTCAGAAACCGAGATAATATAGTTTACGTCCAGAGATTTGTTTTTCACATTGAATAGCTAGTTACGTGAATCCTATATCAGGATGCTCAGTATCAGCACCTGACGATGCATTTAAAACGGAATTGGTCTTTCATATTGCTACTAATTGTGAAGGTCACTTTGTAGTGAACAGGAAAACAGGTGGGGGAAATCGAATGTATTTAAGCACAAATTACAGACTCTCACTAAATTCTGATAGCCATACAGTAAACAGTTGTAGCTGTAAATAAATCCCCAAAATCAATTTGTCATTAACTGTTCGACATTGGATGCTGACCACATTGTTATAGTGAACTTGTTTAACTGAAGTCTTTCGATCATGCATCCGTATCAGATCACGCTACGACCCAGCGTGGGACACAGCTCCTACGTCCACTAGCCAGATTAGAGTAAACGCTTCTCGATATATTGATAACGCATCAAAAATATCTTTCCTACCTCTTCGCATCTGACTTTTGATTTCCATTGGCCAGGATGGTTTCGAATATAGAAGGTGCTACTGGTAGCTAATTGTCAAATTAGAATACCAGTAGTATCTTCACATTTAATTTGCAAAATAAAAATAAGTTGTCTCAATCTTAACTATTTCTTTTGCAAACATCAGTCCATCTCTGATTTCATTGTTCATGCATTTTCATACAGATTGTGCTTCATTCCTGTTCTTTCCTTCTCGATCTTCTGCCAAAATACAGTCTACGTCTGACCATCATTATATACTACTTACGTGGATATAAGTAGACCATACAACAACATGACCTCCTAACCTTAATAGTAAGTATTATATACATCTTCTTACTATGGCTTTCGATATGAAATAAATTACATAAATTGTATCATAATCTTTGGATCTCAAGATACTGTATTTTCTTCTCGACAGTTTTTAAATAAAGCAGTTATGTGACCTTGAACATTTCCTAGTAAGCGCTAGTTTCGCATTGGATGGATCACTTGTATTCGAAGCTCTCTGCGTATGAGCTTGACTATACAGATGATATAAACAAAAAGATGCGTGTCCCAGAAAAACTTTCATACGATTCCGATAATTCAGCAACACTGAGTGAAGGTCATGATGTGTCTTTCCGCAAATATCCAGTTGCAGATTTAAGTGGGAAACTTAATTGTACTTACTTTGCAGTTTTAGATGCCAAACGCTCATCAGAGTACGCCCCAGGATATAGTCCTGACATACTGAATAACAGTGACATTCGCTCGAAATTAATTTGCAAGTGAGTTCAATACATGTATGCATCTTCATTGTGACCAGTCAGGTTCATATGTAAAGCAACGTCTGATATATGCACTAAGCCACCGCAAACTAATTCCGCTTAAATTATCACCCCGAGACCTCACTTCTGACATTTATTTACCCTTCACTTGTATCTCTGGTTTACAATCTGTCATTTTACTAGGAATTTAAAAAGGAAAATGAACTGAGTCTAAATGAGTTAGTTATCCACAAAAAATCCGATATTTCGTTTGACTAATGTAATTCTGTCGCACGTGTTCATTTTGTTAAGATAGACGTCTGAGGTCAAGTGAACTGAATACAAATTTTATATCTCATCGTCCAAACAGTGACTATTGAGCGTAGTAGGTATTCTTTTAAACTAGTACATGATTCTCCAAGTCACTACTCAGATTGTATGAACAACAAAACCAGTCGCTGTGTGTAATTAAGTATCCGATTATCTTTCAATGCTTGGTTAGATTCAACTTTTCAATTGGGTGATGGTATGCAAGCGTTAAAAAAGCTACAAAAAACTGGTGTATTTTATCGATAGCCTTCCTCTCTAACGGTGTTCTACAACTAGCTTATGCAGTGTTAGAATTCTCAAGAATGTAAGATAGTACTCATCCTCTCTCTAATGTCCACGTAAATTTCGTAAATTAGTTGGGCTCCCAAAATTTGTTACGTCTATCATTTCTTAGTACCAATGCTCGTTTATTTTCGGGCTATTGAATTGGTAGTTCCGACGTTGAACCCGGAGTATTAGGTAAGGACGGCAAATCGATTAACGAGTTCAATCTTTATCGCTTTGGACGTTCAGAAAATGTGTTACTTAACCCCATCCACCGAATATATTGATGGGCGTTAATGACTGGTGTAGAGGTATTCTGGAAGAAAGCTGGGGGTATCCAAATTAAGACGTGGCATCAGTCCATTACTATACTAATTGTTAAACTGAACCATCTAAGTAGGTGTCAGTCGCAACGTAGAACTTAGTGTATATATATATATATAACATGAAATCATAGGTAGGTGTAGATCGTCTAGTTTAGGTCCATATGACTTTCGTAAACAATGTTTAGAGACTTTGTTTTACATGATTCAACATTGTTCATAATAACACGGTTGCGCATACTCTTTGACTTCCATTAAACCCCAGGTTTCTAAATTCCTGTTTTAAATTGTGGCCGAGTGGATGCCTTTTGTTAGCATATTATGTGATAAGATCGCCAACCAGAGAGAAACGAATCTTCGATTGGAACAGTGACACACGAAAACCGTACGAGCAGTCTAGAGTGCGTATCGGTTCTGCTTCTACCTTGCTCAGCCAGTTAAGTCCAGAACACCAATAACAGCCTCTGTGGTATGAATCATTGTTTTTCAAACATACTGAGTTTATATTCCAAAGAGACTGACCACATCGTACCAACAAAATAGCAAAAATAACATTTGTACAAGATTTAGCCAAATGTGACTGTGAATGTAGGAGGCAACATTTAATAGACTACGGATAACTCAAGAATGGTAAATCGTATAATAATAGTTATAGGTCAAAATAAAGCTTATAATAAGGGGGACACGAATATGAATAGTGTAAAAATTATATGCATAATATTGGTCCATAAAACGATCCCAAAGTTACCATTCACTATTGTCATCGAGACAACAATTCCTTATGATTTTTTTCACTTATATTTTCTTGAATCGTATCTTCGATGCCTAATCTTTATTGCCATCAATATTGTTATCACCTCTACCACTCTGGGATTTGTTTCGAGAATTTCATCTTGTTGTGCTATTGGAGTATGGTAACTTGAACTGATGTACATATGTGCCAGATCCTATATTGCATATGACTGACTGACCAGTGTGTGTATAACTTTACAGCAAAGTTCTGTCCATTATATTTTCTGTGTATGCTCTCGGCCTTTTCGTATTTTCGAACCAAACTTTTATTTAAAACAAGTACATAAAGGTTAGAATAGCATAAAACGTTTCTCTTAGTTACATACTCACATACTTATAGCTCATAGTTGAGTTATCGTAGTTACGTTATTTTTAGATAAATATAAATATTTCATGTACCAATCCGATGGACTAGTCCTGACACATATCATATTTTTGTTTAATTTTGTTCCAGTGTCCAAGCTCAAGCTTCCTCTCAGTCGGCAGATGGTTCAGCTAAAGCTAATGCTTCTGCTGGAGTATTTTGTGAAACTTCTAGTCATCGAGCACAAGAACGCCTTCGTGTATCAAAATCTCCCTCCACTGGTGATAACGAACACGTATCTATTGATCATCGTCTTATAAGACTTGAAAAACGAATATCTCATTTAGAATTTCAACAAGCTCTCATGAAAGGAGGATTAACAGTGTATATATTATACCGCATCCTAAGATGGGTTATAAAAAATTCATAATAAACTTGTTATAATGACCATCATCCCAATGTATTTTCGAACAATTATATTTTTTTAATCACTGTAATGTAAAGTTGGTGATTACCTCCCTATCTGTTTTTACTTCAAACAGTCTAGATCACACACAGTGCCGCCGCATTTGCTAGCACAATAGTGAATCCTGTTAGAATTTTTCAGTTGTCTTCTTGTTTTTCAAAGGAAAAAATCCACTATCTTTCACAGATATTCTATACATACATCATCAGAGCGCATTTCATGTACATCACTCATTTTTAAATATATACATATTATTTCTGTTTTTAAAACTTTTCATATGTAGTTTAAGTTCTGTTCGTGTTTTTTTTGACCGTTGATTTTCGACAGAAAGTATTGTTTTGTTCAGTATTCTTCATCATATACACTTCATTTTAAAAAGATTAAAAGCACTTGAAAAATATTGCCCCAATATTTTTGTGATTTTAGTATAATAATTCTCATAAACATCATGTTTATATGTCAAGCTCCTGTAATAATCACTTGATATAAATGGATTGTCATTCAACTCAGCTCAATGACTAAATACAGATGTATGCAATAGTTTTTAGTTCAAACCTTTTTCTTTGATAGCTAGTGATACTACCCGACTGCTTAGTGTGAAGATTGATTATGAATACAGTGATCTTGAGTGCTGTTAGAGGTATGAGGGCAGTTATCACTTCCCGGTTGCCCACACTGGAAAAGTTCTTCTAGAGGTACCTGAAAAAAGGAAATTGGGTTAGAAGTGGTCTTAATGACCTGAGAGCGTGACCGCAGTGCCCAAGGGACAACTGCTTGAGGTCGGTCACACACAACCTTTTTGCGGGTAGTTTTTGTGTTAGCTCCGTACTTGTTGGGACCTTACCACCAAAGACGGATATCCATGGGATAAGGCGAGGTGTGCATTTTTAGGTCGACCTTTTCTAACCTCACCCCTTCTTGTGGGAAGGCAGCATCGCTGTTATGCTGGTTGTTTGAAGGAAACACCTTACTGCTGTCACACCTGTGTACAGTCAACAGTACGACTTCGAACCTTGGGTTTGCTGCTTTTAGTCTCACCACTCTTCAACCGACCTGTCTGGCATGATAGGACCTTGAGGAACGATTGTTCCAGCCAGTATAGCTCGATTGGATCATCACGATAGGCAAGCCCAACCACCACGTCAAGGTAGCAGCAACGGTCGGGGGACAGACTAAGTATGGTTTCGAACCAGTGACCGAAAAGTTGAGAACTATTTATCACTCAACGCTAAATCACAGCTAACTTATCATTCATACCAGTGTGCTGTAGTTTTTTAGATAATATCAGCATGTTCCCCGTTATAACTTTATCTGTTCTCGTCTTGTATTTTCAACTAAAATCTAAGTTTTTATCGATTTATGAACTACTTTCAAATTTTTACTTAAGTATCCATATATGTATCTGTATTTCTTTCTTGCCTATGTAGACGTTTTCTTTGATTTAACAAAATAGATAATATATGTGTACTTGTACATAGTCTGAACTATTTAAAATATATTTCCTTAGATCTTTTAAACTAGTTTGTGTATTGGTCCCAACCAGTCTAAAAATGCCTTGCATTTGTTCACATTCTGTGTGTAATATTTATATTTTATCTATTTCACTCTTTCCGACTTTCGTCTTTTTTGCAGATAGTCAAGTATGTTGTCTAATCCTAGGATACATTAAGACAGAAAGCACATTTTGTAATATTTGCTACAATCTATGTTCTAAGTTAAATCCGTCCTGACGACTGCTTAATTGTAATATTAATAACTTGCTTCCCAAACATAGTTACCATCTCCAACGATTGTACAAGCATAGCATTCTCAATAATGGATTTAAGTAGTATATCATTTTGCTATATATAATCCAGTCATTTGTGGTGAGTGGAAAGTTCCAATGACTAAACATAACTTTCTTTAACCAACGAATAAAGCAATCCCCTATGTTATTGATACTATGTTGTTTTAATAAAAACTTAGCAATTACCGATCAATTAATAACACAAATAATGTAATGTGATCTAATGATAACTTATCATAAGACTAAACTTATTAACCAGTGTATTTTATTGTTTCTATACTTATAATACAAAAAAAATGAAACGGTTAATCATTGATCATTAGTTAATTAGTATTAACAATATTAAGTAATCAGAAGGGGTTTTGTGGAGATTTCAGTATTTTTCAAAGTTGAAATCATGAGTCAATTGAAGCTAGAACACCATGGAAAACCTGGAAGCACCGGACGGCCGTTTCGTACTATTATGTGACTCCTCAACAGTGCGCATCCACGATCCCGCACTCGTGAGATTTGAACCCAGGACCTACCAGTCTCGAGTCCAAGATTACAATAATTTCAGGACTAAAGAGAATCAAATAGGTCATTGTATAGTTTCATAAATTTCCACGTACTTATGTTAACCAAATTGTATGTTATTGCTTTATTATTATTATTATTATTATTATTATTATTATTATTATTATTATTATAGAATAAAGCAACACATGTTAGCGGTCTTTCTTTTGCTTCAAATGTCAAATTAATAATATTTTCTGTTAACTTTGTATCCTAATTATTTATTTATTTTATTATTTAAACATAAATATTGGTACAAGGGAGTGCCAGATACATATGCGTCACACAAATCTCATTTAATTTGTGTAAGTACTAAAGCGAATGTCCGGCGCTTTAACCGGGTTGGTGGACACGGAGGGTCCACCTAGGGGAGTTGGAAAACCCTGATTCCAAACCAATGGTGCACATGGGCTCCAGTATCCTGATGGAACGAATGGCGGACGAACCTGTCATTGGTCAACGGCTACCATGGGACTGCATCTCCTCACGATGCTCCACTGCCTTGTGGATCAGACCTTTTGGTCAAAGGCTCGGGGTGTGGCCCCCTAAGAAAACCACCTGCTTCGGTTTGGGCACCCGGGCAGTATCACAGCCCACACACACAAATAGTGTGGCGCATATGTACCTGGTGCCCTTTTGTACCAATATATATGTGTTTAAATAAATAAATAAGTACTATGGTACTGCTCGGGTGCCCAAACCGAAGCACGTGGTTTTCTTAGGGGGCCACACCCGGAGTCTTTGACCTAAAGGTCTGATCCACAAGGCAGTGGAGCATCATAAGGAGATGCAGTTCCATGGTAGCCGGTCATCAACGATTGGTTCATACGCCAATTGTTCCTTCCGGATACTGAAGCACATGTGCACCATTGGTTTGGACTGGAGGTTTTCCAACTCCCATAGGTGGACCCTCCGTGTCCACCAACCCGGTTAAAGCGCCGGACATTCGCTTTTCGTTTTCGCAAGTTTATAAACAACACCCCCGCCACGAAAATGCAGTGAGTAGGACTTCTCTGACAGAGGCTGTATACGCGTGGTCATGTAGCCATATATCCTAATTAAATCATGTACAAAGTAGTTTAGTATGTTTTCTATGTTTATTTTTGCTATACAAGACAGGATATAATATGTCACAACTATACTTATACTTATACTGTTACAAACTTGTAACTTGCATAAATTTACTTATTTTCTTACTTTAATAGATGTGATTATAATATCCTATTATTCAATTTACCCCCCCCCTCCATCTAACAAATTTTGTTTGTTTGTTTATTTTTATGTCTAATACAAATGTATTTCAATTTATATTTTAGCATTATGGTCACTTCATCTGAAGAAGATACTAAACGTGAGAAATTAGTTGGACGAGTTCGTACATCAGTTATAATATTTTGGATTTTATCTATTATATTTTTAATAATAGGTATAACAGTACTATCTATGTATCATAATTTAAATGAGTAAGTTTATATTTTCAATACTTCTCATTGTTATTATGATTATTATCATTATCATATTATATAATGTATATTCCTTTATAGGAATATACATTGCCCCCAAATGCCCTAGTACGGGTGAGATTGGGGAGAGCCTTCTCTCCCTCTCGAAATGCTCTCACATGGCCACACGTATATAGCCTCTGTCAAGGAAGTCTTACTCAATGCCTTGTCGTGGCGGGAGTGTTGTTTACGAAATTGAGAGGACGAAAAGCGAATGTTCGGCGCTTTAACTGGGCCGGTGGATACGGTGAGTCCACCTAGGGGAGTTGGAAAACCCTGATTTCAAACCAATGGTGCATATGGGCTCCAGTGTGCTGAGGGAACAAATGGCGTATGAATCAGTCGTTGATCACCGGCTACCACGGGAATGCATCGCCTCACAATGCTCGATTGCCTTGTGGATTCGACCTTTAGATCAAAGGCTTCAAGTGTGGTCCCCTAAGAAAACTACCTGCTTCGGTTTGGGCACCTTGGCATTATCATAGTCCTCACACAATCAAATGAAATGACGATTTTGTGTGTAGCGCATATGGGTCGGGTGCGTTTTTGTACCAATATTTGTGTGTTTAAATAAATAAATAAATAAAATAAATATTCCTTTAATATATAGATCATTTAGATATTTGAATATAAGTATGTCATCTTAAAGGAAATATAGATTGTGGGTAACATTAGAATCCAGAATTCATGTTTCTTTTTATTTAGGACTCATCAACTAGCTATAAATCTAAATTAATTCATGTATTAATGTTCACTAATAATAGGATGGTTATATCAAAACTATCCACATGAAATGTATGTATACTGTAGTCAATAAGAACACGAGTGGGGACAATCGAATGTAATCACAATTGATTGATCACTGAGTGGTGATCAATGTCATGCGTGTCAATTCTGTATTAATGCTGATCGATGAAGTTGCAATGTGGCCACTAGTCTAGGTGGCTCGACACTGCGTGCCCTATCCAGGGCGGCCTGCTTAAACATCTGGGCTACCTGTTCCTGTCATTTATATATTTCAACAAGTTATCTAATATTGTTTGCTTTAATACATCTTTATGGCTATTAGGAACACAACCTATTCAGGTGCGTTTCTGAAAACTGTACAACCTTTCGCTGTAAAGGTTACAAAAGGCCTAATCAGAGATATCGTGTTTACTGGGAACATGCAGCAAAAAGAATATACATTTTTCATATTTCGATTGACTGAACTGCTGACATCTAACTGGCGATCACTGAATATTTATCGTCAGGATAGACGAAGAAATAAGAAACGTAAACACGTTGAAATACTTTATGCTGAGAATTCGATTTTGTACCAAATAATATAATATTGAATAAAGCTAATGATAATTTTAAAAAAATAATGTTGAGATAAGATGGTGGTTGTAGGTGGTCAACAGGTCAGGGACCACCAGTTCCCTCAAGATTTCAGGTACACCTTACTGACGAGTGCCAAGTAGCACGAAACCCGGGTCCAGGGTTTCGTGTTGACCACCTCCAACCACCATCTTACAATCGAATGTATTTAAGCACAAATTACAGACAATCTCACTAAATTCTGATAGCCATACAGCAAATAGCTAATTGGCAAACTATCAATCAATTGTCTCAATCTTAACTGTTTCTTCTGCAAATATCAGTCCATCTTCTCTGATTTCATCGTTCATCCATTTTCATACAGATTGTGCTTCATTACTGTTCTTTCCTTCTCGATCTTCTGCCAAAATACAGTCTATGTCTGACCATCACCATTTACTACTTACGTGGTTATAAGTAGACCACACTACAATACTTCTAATGAGAGTTGATTAGAGTTCAGTCAAATATATCAACAATTAGATGATTTTCATAGTTGAAATCATGAGTCAATTGAAGGTAGACCACCGTGGAAGATCTGGAAGCACTGGACGGCCGTTGGATTCCGGCTGTCTCAGTAGTCTGTCGATCAAGTGCTGTGGAGCGAGACTGGTAGGTCCTGGGTTCGAATCTCGCAAGGTGGGATCGTGGATGCCCACTGATGAGGGGTCCCACAATAGGACGAAACAACCGTCCAGTGCTTCCAGGTTTTCCATAGTGTTCTAGCTTCAATTGATTCATGATCACAACTATTAAAATATATTTTCGATAGTTAAGATAAATTCAAGCAATCTTGATTGATAACTAATATGTAATAATATAATATGGTTGAATAAGGACTGCTCATCAGATATAATTCTTAACATAAACCTTCGGATAATCTAAAATCAAAGGCAGAACCATTATACAGAAGAATATATAAATATACTTATATCTAATATAAGAAAACGTTTATATACAAACATGGCAAATGTCATTTTGAACGATTGAATAAAATGAAATTTACTATTCACTCGTCATACCCCATTCCCTCATTGTATTTTGCGTAAAGTTGTCGTCATGGGCAGTAAGCATTGGATCATTTAATGAGGATCATTTAATATTTAATTAAAAATTTATTATTTATTAAAGCATATAAACATTAGTACTAGGATGCACTAAATATATATTACTTACTGACTTACGCCTGTTACCCCTCTTGAAGGAGCATAGACCACACACCAGCATTCTCCATCCAACCCTGTCCTGGGCAATTCTTTTCAGTTATTTCCAAGTTGTTATTCATCCTTTTCATATCTGCTTCTATTTCCCGACGTAATGTGTTCTTTGGCCTTACTCTTTTCCGGATTCCAAGTTAGAAATTGCCTAGTGATGCAGTTTGGTGATTTCCTCAATGTATGTTCTATCCATTTCCAATATCTTTTCATAATTTCCTCTTCAGCTGGTAGCTGATTTGTCCTCTCCCACAAAACGCTGTTGCTGATAGTATCCGGCCAGTGAATGTTGAGTATTTCACGTAAACAACTGTTTATAAATACTTGTCCCTTCTTGACGATGGATGTAGTAGTTCTCCACGTTTCAGCTACGTACAGTAGGACTGTCTTGAAGTTCGTATTGAAGATTCTCACTTTGAAGTTAGTTGAAAGTTTTTTGAGTTCCATATGTTCTTCAATTGTAAGAATGCTGCCCTTGCCTTGCCAATCCTCGCCTTTACATCTGCATCTGATCCTCCTTGGCACTGAGAACAGTGCCTCATTGTGGACATGGGTATGCTACCCCTCCTTCTTACTTACTTACTTACGCCTGTTACCCCTTGTGGAGGAGCATAGGCCGCTCACCAGCATTCTCCATCCAACTCTGTCCTGAGCCTTCCTTTCCAGTTCTTTCCAGTTACTATTCAGCCTTTTCATATCGGCTTCTATTTCCCGGCGTAGTGTGTTCTTTGGCCTTCCTCTTTTCCGCTTCCCTTCCGGATTCCAAGTTAGGGATTGAGTCGTGATGCACATTGGTGATTTCCTTAATGTATGTCCGATCCACTTCCAACGTCTTTTCCTAATTTCCTCTTCAGCTGGAAGCTGGTTTGTCCTCTCTCATAAAACGCTGTTGCTGATAGTATCCGGCCAGTGGATGTTGAGTATTTTGCGTAGACAACTGTTTATAAATACTTGTACCTTCCTGATGATGGCCGTAGTAGTTCTCCACGTTTCAGCTCCATACAGTAGGACTGCCTTGACGTTCGTATTAAAGATTCTGAACTTGAAATTGGTTGAGAGTTGTTTTGAGTTCCATATGTTCTTCAATTGTAGAAATGCCGCCCTTGCTTTGCCAATCCTCGCCTTTACATCTGCATCCGATCCTCCTTGTTTATCAACGATGCTCCCCAGGTACTTGAATGTTTCCACCTCTTCCAGAGTTTCGCCATCAAGTGTGATTGGGTTGGTGTTCTCCGTGTTGCATTTGAGAATCTTGCTTTTTCCTTTGTGAATGTGGAGACCTATCGATGCGGAGGCTGCTGCTACATTTGCTGTCTTCATCTGCATTTGGTCGTGTGTATGAGAGAGGAGGGCTAGGTCATCTGCGAAGTCCAAATCATCTAATTGATTCTGAGCTGTCCATTGTATTCCGTATTTCCCTTCAGATGTCGAATTCTTCATAATCCAGTCAATCACTAGAAGGAAGAGGAATGGGAAGAGTAGACAGTCTTGTCTGACTCCGGTCCTTACTGGAAATGCACCTGTCAGCTGTCCTCCATGCACCACTTTGCACTGTAATCCATCGTATGAGTTTTGGATAATGTTGACGATCTTCTGAGGAACTCCATAGTGTCGAAGAAGTTTCCATAATGTTCTCCTGTCCACGCTGTCAAACGCCTTCTCATAGTCAATAAAGTTGACGTATAGTGATGAGTTCCACTCAACTGATTGTTCAACGATGATCCGTAGTGTCGCAATCTGGTCTGTGCACGACCGATCCTTACGGAATCCAGCCTGATGATCCCTTAGTTCGGCGTCTACTGCGTCTTTCATCCGATTCAGCAGCACTCTGTTGAAAACTTTTCCTGGTACTGATAACAAACTGATGCCTCTGTAGTTCTCACATTGGCTCAGATCTCCTTTCTTTGGTATCTTGATGAGATATCCTTCTTTCCAGTCCGTTGGCACTTGTTCCTCTTCCCAAATCTTTTTGAATAGAAGGTGAAGCATGTTTGCAGTTATTTCAATGTCTGACTTCAGTGCTTCTGCTGGTATATTGTCAGGTCCTGCCGCCTTCCCACTTTTGATTTGTCTGATGGCCATCTTGACTTCTTCAATCGTTGGTGGAGTGACATCTATTGGAAGGTCTGTGTGGGCTGCTTCGATGTTCGGTGGATTCAATGGGGCTGGTCTATTCAGCAGTTCCTCGAAGTATTCTGCCCATCTTTTCTTCTGTTCTTGAATCTCAGTGATTGTCTTTCCTTCTTTGTCCTTGACTGGTCTCTCTGGTTTGCTATATCGCCCTGCCAATTTTTTCGTTGTATCATATAGTTGTTTCATATTCCCTTCTCTTGCAGCTTTTTCCGCCGCCGTTGCTAGTTCTCCCATGTATTTCTGCTTGTCGGCTTT